AGTGGGAGTGTTCACTAATGTCTGCTGAACAGTAAAAACTACAGAGGTGGCACTAATTTTCACTGGATTCTCTAGTGAGGGATTCTAATTGTTCATCTATCATTCCCAGTCAGTTAGGAATTATTGTCATTTTAAAAAGTCCAGTTCTGGCATGTACAATCAGAAGATGTTCAAGCAAGTGGGTGAACTGTGTATCCCCACCTGGTACGATTTGGATCTGAGATGTACCCCAAAGGCCCATGGACTGAAAGTGTGAAACCATGAGTCAAAAATAAGCCTTTCCTCTCTTCAGATTGATTTTCTCAAGTATTTAGTCACAGTGACAGAAAGCTAACACCCCACCCAAAGGCCTGAGGTTTTCAGTAGCATCTCAGCCCCAGAGGAGTCTGAAGAAAGGGATGCTAGAGAAAAGCCCAATAGGGAGGCTGGGGCAGACTGATTTGAGAAGAGGTAGGTTTCAGAGCCGGAAGTCAAGGATAATTGATGGCCAAGACCAGCTGAGACAGGGTAGACTCATGGCGCCACCATGTGGCAGGCACTGTACATGCAGCGTCTCATTTAAGGATTCTAATAGCCCTGTGAAGTTGATATTTATTTTATCAACGGTTTATTAAAAAAAAAAAAAAGCCCTATTAGGTTGGTATTATTATCTACTTTTATAAATAAAAGCACAAAGTAGGCAATAAAATTATTCAGCTAGTAGGGACAGAGGCAAGATTCAGGCTCAGATAGGTCCGACTCCAGTGCCTGTGTATGTACTGATGTTCTAGGAATTGGCTCACATATGGGAAAGCCCAAGTCCAGAATGTGGGGCCCTTCGGTGACCTCCTACCATGGTTGGACCTGCTCAAGAGATGATGGATGGAGATTCAACTTGGGTTGCTGGTAGACCTTTGGCAGCTGGCAAAGTGGCATGTCACTAGGATTAGAACCAAAGGTCAGGGAAATCTGGTCCCTGTGCAAGGATACAACATAGAAAAAATGTACAGAACATATGAACAGGCAATTCCTAGCAGGGGAATTCCTAGCAGGGGAAATACAACTTGTAAGAAACAAAAGCCAAACCAAACCAAACCAAAACAACCCAAACCAAATCAAAACAAAAGGATATGAACAGAGTCAATCTGATTAGTATGTAGAGTCATACAGATTAAAGTACAGTTTTTATACCTATCAAATTGCCAAAAAGCTGTCAATACCAAGAACTAACAAGGATATGGAATCAAATAAATTTAGGCACCGCTGGTAGAACTATGTACAACTATGCTGCCAAACAACTTAGCAATACCAGTAAAGTAAAAAACTTGCAAATCCTATGCCCCAGGAATTCCATACCTAGACTAAAATTCCTATGGAAACTGGCACAGATTCACCAGAAAACATTGAAAAGAATTCTTATACCAGCACTGTCCATTACAACAAAAGTGGAGAAATCACTCAAATGCCCATTGTCAGGAAAATGCATAAATGGCTTGGAATTGACTTACATAGAATAATGCCATACAGCAGTGAAAATAAATGAACCACAGCCATATACAGCAGTAGAAAGGACTAGCTTAAACATTATACTGCCTGGAGAAGAAAGCAAGTTACTATATATAATATGATGCCATTTATGCCAATTACAAAACTTGCAAAACTGAACAGGCACATCTAATTAACTAAAAAAAGGAATAAGAACAAAATTCAGGGTAATGGTCTATTCAAAAGGGAGAAGCAGAAATATGAGATTAAGGAACTTGTAGGGGGCTTTCTTGGTTTTGTTTTATTTCTAAGGTTATAGTAGCTGAGCATTAGACCTATACATATACACATATGGGTGTTCATTTTATTATTTGTTCTCCTTTATAAAATTGCCATATACATAATTATATATATAATCATATATATAGTCTCTTTTGAAGAGATGCTATATTTCACAAGTAGGACAGTATCTGAAGAAATCTGAGGCATAGTTAACACATTAAAAAGAAAACAAACCAATAGGCAGGTGCTCATTGTATATCCACAGATCCCCTGGGAAACCAAAGCCCAGCAAAGGACTCGAAAGAACTCATGGGTCCTCATCAGGTTGAAGCCACTTTCCTCAGGTCAGGAATCTGTGGAATTTATGATCTCATCTTGGCCATTTCTTCATTGCTGTCCTTTCTTGTAATCTCCTTTGTTCACAGTGTCCTTCCATCTTTGACAGCATTCTACTTTTACTAGTCTACACAGAGACTTTAAGTCTACAGCGTGTCCTCAAATCTTACGTTCCATTGTACTTTCTTGCATTTGTTCCCTATTTACTGAAAGCCCAAAACATGTCAGCCCTAGAACAGCCAAAAGTGAACAAGCCCTGGTCTCCAGACTTGTAGAACTGGCCCGGGAACAAGGGAGCTGAACAGACAGTGGGGCAGAGAATCACAACATAGTAGTGTTTTTCTACATTGTTGGAGCATGAAAGTCAATGTGGACCTGTTAATAAGCAAATTCCCAGGCCAGATTTATGGAAAGCAGATCTGGGTGAGGCACAAGAATCTGCTTTTAAGCAATTTGCAGTGAATTTGATGCAGCTAGGCCACAGACTCAAGATAAAAAGAGAAGATTAATGTGATCAGTGTGATGATGATAATAGAATTACTTGGGCATGGGGGCCCAGAAGTGGGCCACCTCTCCCGTCTGGAATGGGGGTCATGATAAGTCAGGAATGGCTTCCCGGAGGGCCCCCTGGAAAGCACCCTCATGGGAAATCAAGCCTTCTGACATCATCTATGGATGTGAACCTCCTCCCCGCCTGCAGGAGGCACTCTTCTCTGCATCGCCATTGCTGGGGGACAAGCTCTGGCCCGTAGGATGTGAGTAGGGAGTTAGAAGCGCAGCATTCTGGACTAGGGAGCAGGCTTGGTGTCCAGGTCTGGGGCGGCACTAGGCCCTGGGGACCAGAAGCTCCTTGGCCTTTCTTCTATGTCCAGACTGGTCTGTCTCCAAGCATGTGCCAGAAACCAAGGAAGGATAATGCTTTGGATCTGATGATTTTTACGAACAGAATGAGGAACCAGGGTAGCACCGCCCACCCCCCCAACCAATGTGAGATTAAAGAGACTGGATCGATTGAGATGTTTCTCCTGTAGAGATGCTGTAGCTCCTTAGCAAGAGGCTTGGTTCTTGCTGGAAGGAGGAAAGGGGCTGAGGACTGGATAATTCAGAGGTTTCTTATGTTGGCAGTAGGGCTGCTTCTTGTTTCTAGGCCTAGAACAGCCCTCCCCCCCTTCATTCTCTGAGCCCAAATGAGGCCCCTCTCCAAGGGCCTGCTAGTCAAATACTTGGCATGAATCCCGTCCTGCCAGGGGCAAACTGGCTGCTGTTTGTTCCCGTTTATTAAGCACATCCAGGTGAGTTTTATTACGGACAATTCCCTGGGCTCCTGTTTCCACATTTGTCTCCTTTGAGGCTGAGATTGCCAAAGGCTTTCACAGTTAATGGACCTTACTGCTCTCAAGAGCCACCTAGGGAGGCACAGAACTCAGTGGCGGTAATTAGTCAAACAAAGTACAGACCTCTGGAGACCTGCTGGAGCTGAGTGGCAGGAAGGCAGGATACAGGGACGGGGGCTCAGGGGAGAGGCAGATGTGGGGAACATCTGCACAGGTGTATTGGGCCTCCTTGCTTTACCCCTGCCCCTTCCCTGCTTCCCACTTCTGATGGGGGATGGACTCTGTGGTTTCTGACATCTGAGGGGATGGAGGGTCACAGCTGACCTAACTATGGCAAGCAACTGCCTCTTTTTTTTCCTGTCTCACCTGCTGACCTGTGATGAAGGCTGAGTTCCAAGCTCAGGTACCATTTCTTGAGAGGAAGTGTAATGTTCTCTTTAAAACCTGGGATCTGAAGCCAATCACTTTTAAATTTAATGATCTGGGACAAGTCAACAAATCTTTCTGTGCCTCAGTTGGCTTTTCGGTAAAATAGGAATGACGATGCTGATCTCAGAGGGTTATTGCAAGGAATCAATGGTACAATAACACAACTACTTTGCCTGGAACCTAGTACAAGTATTCTATAAGCAGAAGCTCCTAGGATGCCAAGAGCAAGTGCGACCAGAGCAGAGCTTGGAAAAGGAAGTCTATCTGGCATTCATGCCCCCCCACCCCACCCCGCTTGTATCTCTCTGGTTGGGCAGAGAGCACAAGGGTTTCATAGAAGTAGTCTTTCTTTCTTCCTTCCTTCCTTCTTTTCTCTCTCTCTCTCTTTCTTTCTTTCTTTCTTTCTTTCTTTCTTTCTTTCTTTCTTTCTTTCTTTCTTTCTTTCTCCCTCCCTTCCTTCCTTCCTTCCTCCCTCCCTCCCTCCCTCCCTCCCTTCCTTTCTTTTTCACTTTTTCATACTGGGGTTGGAACTCAGGACCCTGCACTTTTGAGGCAGGTGTGGTGTCACTGAGCTAAATTCCTGGCCCTAGAAGCAGCCCCCTTTCTATGGGAGAAGGTGGTGGAGATCAAGGAGGGAAAGGAAAGATGTTGAGCTTGGTCTGCTGCTAAATCCAGACAAGAGGAGGGCACCTACATTTCTTGAACATCTCTTCTGACCAAGCATTGCCTGCTTTGTCTCTTTAACTGCCCAACACATACAGAATAGCCTTAGAGAGGCTAAGTGAATGACGGCAAGTCATACAGCATGGAAGAGGGGGCCAGGGTTGGAGCTCGGGATATGTGATCTCTACGGGACTGTTCTTTCACTGCATTCTTCTGTGGTAGATGATCAAAGTGTAGAACCTGGATACTCAGACTGATATCTGTTACCTAGAAAGCCTATGGAAGGTCACTGGTTTCAACTGGACTCAAAGACGAGGCCTCTAGATGCCAGAGTGTGGGACATTTCAGGGGCGGGGCTCATTACCAAATGGTCTTTCCCTTCGCATTGGGCTCTGTGCTGTTCTGGGCAGTCAGACCTGGCCACGTAGGGGCCGGAGCCTCTCTTACTCCTGTCACAAGCCCGTGTCCAGGGACGCTCCCTCTCTCCTGCAGGTGGATGGTGTTCTGTGCTTGGCCGACATCCTGACTGACGACAGCAATTCAGAAGCCACTCGAGCTGAGGCTGCAGCTGTGGTGGCCCAGGTCACCTCTCCACATCTGTCCTTCACCCAGCATCTCAGTAGCTTCCTGGAGAGCATGGAGGAGATTGTGACAGCCCTCGTCAGTGAGTCACCTCGGGTGGGTGGGAACCCAGATGGGAAAGCCTGTGCCCAGCGGTCTTCAGGAAGGACTAGAAAGGCCTTCCTGCCTGCTGTTTACCAAGACCCAAATATGACCTTCATAGATGATCACACAAGCTTAAACCACACCATTAATGGACTAGAGTCAGGCTTTGAAGAACTCCATTGTCCAGTAATAAAATACAGCAAACCTTCCAAGAAGCAACTGGAATCCGGGTCATGTTGGAATTAAATGGCCTCCCAGGACAGGGAAATCCAGGGAGGAGTTGGGCCTCAAATTTTAAAGCTCAGACCCTTGGGCAGAAAGACTGATAAGCTTTCTTCCAAAAACATAGCAGCAATGAATGGGAAAAATGATTTCTCCCCAGGAACCAGCTCAGCACGACCTGCTGCAGGAAATCCCACCACTGGTCTCACGATATGCGGCTGTGAAAGTGTTGACTCTTCTATGTCCCCCTTTTCAAACATCTGTTTTCCTGGCAGGAGAATCATAGTCCAACATCTAGAATATGCTCTTTTTCTAGCTTTCCTTTTATAAACTGGAGAAACTAGAAGGATTTGTCTGAATAAAAGTCTTCAAGGAACACGTTTTGCAAACCACCTCCTTTCTGTAACAGAGCTGGTAGGGATCTGTGTTTCTACTTCTATTCTCACTGCTGTCACCATCACTCTATCCACATCTTACCAAAATTGAATGAAAACTTATTTTTACCAGAAAATGTGGGGTTAGCTCTTGGAGTCACTGTACCAGGGCTGGGACTAGCTTCAGTAGCATGCATTTAGGGGCAGCATAGAAATGGGCTAGGAGACAGAACGCTTGGGTTTGGGATCTGTTTTTTCTCTCACTGATTCAACAAATATGTGTTGATCAGCAACCCCGTGGAAATGCTGTGTGGGATTCTGTCACTCTCTTATCGTGCCACATTGTAAAGCTCACTTTTACATTTTATTAATATACAGAATGGGAGATTGCAATCCATTTCTTCCAAGTAGCCTCTTAGCTCTAGAATTGTAGCATCTCCCAGTACTTTGCACATGGGTGACATCAATTAGGTTGCCTTTATAGCTGATTCTAGTCAGAAGAGCAGTGAGAAACACAGATCAGGTAGGAGAAATCAATTTTCCAACATCCACATTGAGTCAGAATCAAGAAACATCGAAGTCCATTGTTCAATGTCTTAGCTGGAGGGAACTCAAGAGACCATAAAGTACAGCACCCACTCTACAGGAAAGAATTCTAACTACTAAACTTCAGGAACTAGAAGGATTCATCTGGATAACAATCCCCAGGGAACTGGAGAAGTTGAAGAACTTTCTCAAGGCCACACGTTAGCATTAGGATCCACCATGCCAGGAGTTTCATACTCAAGCATCTGCCAGAGCTCAGCAGGAAGCAAACGATTTGAAGAGAGTCCGATGAAAGAAGAAAATAAGGAGGTTTGAGTTTGATATTAAACTGACAAGTACATGCACTGATAAGGGGGTGGCAGTCACTGTTCATTTCCAGTTGATTGTTGCCCTGTAGGAAAGGCTAGATTTTAAAAGATAAGACATAAATTATAATTATGTAGAAAATCTCTCCATTTATAAATCATATCAAATAATAAAACAAATAAACCAAATAGTCCATAAGGTCTTTCATTATTGTCATATGCCCACTCCTGCTCTTTTGCCCAGGCTGTGTTTCTCCTGGAGAAGAGGAGTCTTCCTATTTGTTTCAGCCTCCTGAAGATGCACTGTGCAGTCTACTCTGAGATTCAGCAGGTGGAATATATCTGCTAGGCAGGACGCCAAATGGAATATATCTGTTCTTTGGTGGGAAGTAGCCCTCCAGTTTCTTGCCATTCCCTGGAAACATTTGTAAATGAGTCACGGGAATCTTCGATTTAATCTTTGTAACATATCTCAGGTGACTCAGACTGTAGTTCAAATAAATGTGCAGCAAAATTAAAAGCCACTTAGATAGCCATATTAATAATTGCTGTGTAGGCAATCATGGCAACTGCATGAGAATGAGGGGGAATGTTTGGACCTAGAAGAAATCTTACAGCAAAAGCAAAGTGGGCCAATGAGTTCTGTAGCCTCACTCCAAAGCCTGGAGGTAGAGAGGTGAGTCTAGAAGAGGCTGAATGACTCAAGTGGTCGAATGACCCAAGAGAATGTGGAAGTCACTGGATATGGGAAATCACAGTGTTCTAATTCCTTAGAGAGTCTTTCATCCCAACCCTGGGTGGTTAGATGAAGATTCTGAGTTGTTTGGTACTCAGACCTGGGCAGTGGATTATGGAGCTGCCCAGAAACAAGCATTATCTTCCTGACAGAACTGGGCATAGGGTAGTTGAAGCATCACTGAGAATGAGTCAAAGGGGCTTCAGCGAAAATCACTTAACAAATGAATCCTCAGTTCTTTCATCTATGAAATTGTTATTGAAATTGTATTGTAAGGATTGAATGAGTTAATGATATAAAATATGTACAGCAGTGGCTGGCACAAAGTAAATACTCAAAAACATAGTACCTGCTGCTGCTAATACTAGCTTCTCTGAGACTCAGCTTCCACATCTGTAAATCAGGGTGATCATATTGTCCCATAAAGGTGCCCAGAATTTAACAGCATGGTGCAGGGCATACTACAGGTGTTTGGCGAATGTCACTGTCCTCTTTTAAGGTAAGGGCCAGTAACTCCATTCATTGGAAGGTGCCAAGAGGCCCTGGAAACAGTGACTCTTTGTCTGGAGGGAAGAACTAGGAACCAGATGGAATATAACTCAATTCTGTCTCCTGAACTTTCTCTCTGTGCTAGGGCTGACTTCCAAAGTGTGGTATTTACTCTTGTGGTTTTGTAGAAGTGTTATTATAGGAGAGGGCCTGAGGGACTGAAGCATCCTGACTGGAGGTCAAGTTGGAGCAGAGGGTCAGAAGCCAGGCCTATCAGAATGGTGGTGTACCATGGACAGAGCCCCTTTCTATATCCTCCCGAGACCAAGTCCATTCTAGGTTCTGGAAAGCCCGTGGGGCAGTAGGTTCGGCGATGGGAGGAAGATAGACCTTTTTCTACAGAGGCTTTTCCTTAGTAATTGCAAATGGTGAGTGGGGACATTTGGTTAGGGCTGGGCTGTGGCCACCAGGACCAGATAAAAGAGTGACCTTCAGGGGCTCAGTGTAGGACTTTTCTGTAACCAGATGACCTTTTTTCTGGGACCAAAAGAAAATGCTGAACTCTGCTGACGGCAGCAGTAGTCTGTCTATTTGAACTTCATCCTTTTAAGGCAAATTTAGCAGCAGCCTAGTGTACATTACTACAGACACAAATGGACTGGAAGTTCATTCCTGCCTCATGGCCTTTGTACATACAATTCCTTTGGTCTAGAACTTTCTCTTCTTCCAAATATTTTCATGACCTGCCCCTTTCCTTCCTTAATGTCTAAGCTATCAAGTCACATTCCTTAGGATGTCTTTCTTGCGTACCCTAGTGGGTCCCTACTTATTCTCTGTCTTAGCACTTGTTTATTTTCTCCCTCACATTTCTCACGATTTGAAATTAGTTATATTAATTGTTAAAAGTTTATTTTCACCAGTAAAGTATAAACTCTGCAAGGGCAAGAGTGTGATCTATTTTATTTATCAGGACATCCCAAGACACTAGTGGTGCCTAGCACATAGTGTTCACTCAATAAATACTTGGTGAAGGAGTGAATCAGAGTCACACATCAGCTTTCCAAGCACTGCTGCCTCTGTAGACAGATCCATCTTTCTCTCTAGTAACTGCTTCCATCATCTGTAAAATGAATATTGTGATAGCCACCCAAATGATCTCCCACAGGTCTCCTGGGAACCAAGTGAGATAACTGACAGGAAAGCACTTGGTATTGAGCTGTTTTCTTCCTCTGTGCCATACAGAGCTTTGCCAAGAGGCCTCATCTGGAGAAGTCTTCCTCCTGGCCTCTGCAGCCCTTGCCAACATCACCTTTTTTGACACAATGGCCTGTGAAATGCTTCTGCAGCTGAACGCCATCCACGTCCTCTTAGAAGCCTGCAGCGACAAGCAGAGAGTGGATACGCCTTATACCCGGGACCAGGTGAGAGGCTCGGGAGGGCCCATGCCCAAGGCCTGCAACCATGATGACAGAGGTTCGGAGGCCAGTGGGTGCAGGGAGGCAGGGTGATCCGGCAGTGTGTGGCCCATGCTGGTAGTGGCTTTTGCTGGCACGCTGAGCTTTGTGTTCCATAGTAAGGTAAATGAATATGTTCTTAACATTTCTTATTGACCCTGAAGCCACTTTATGACCTCCTTGCCCACCTCTGCCCATCCCAACTACTACGGGGCTTTCCTTCCTCTCCATTCAAACTCTTCATGCTTGGGTGAAGCATGAGAGACATAGCAGAGAGACCCATGGGCAGGTCCTCTGAGGGTCTGTATCCCAGTCATGTTGGTGCCCATCTCACATCCTACCCTACAGTGAATTACTCCTCTCTCCCTGTTTCCCAAAAGCAAACTGAAACCCAAAAGTAAACCAGGGACTTGCAGCAGACTTTGATTCTGGGATTCAGCCTTGATATAAGCCACAGTATTTTTGTATATTTGAACTCCAAGTAAGGTTTTGTTTGGGTGGGAACAAGAGTCTTACTACAGAAAGGTGTTTGAGGACATTGAATGGGGAAGTTTTGTGCTCTGATGTTCTGGAATTTTATCCCATCTTACCTCTGGCCACACTTGGCTTTCTCTTTCCTGACCAAGGGGTGGAGGTAGTCTATCATGTTGGATTTTAAATCTCTGTTAATTCTGCCAGGAACCTAAACTCCAAGTCTGATGATTTCCCTAAACCCAGCCCAGCTCATCACTGTCAGTATTTAGTCCCCAGCTCCCATACGTTTCTTCCAGCCTTATCTTTTAGCTGATGCTATCTTAGCTTTGAGTTCTAGCTCCTACCCCAGCAACTTCAGGGGAGTTGACTTCAGTGAGATAGAATTACCCCCTTTTCCTAGAGTCCGTACCTTACAGTGCAGAGCTGACTTACTTAAGGATATTCATCCCTCTTTTACTACTTTATGTGAACTTTTTTCTTCTAAGACCATGGACCTTCTTCTATGTTTCTCTAAGATTTCTTGGGTCCTCTAATCCAGAGCTGTCACATGTGGTGAAGTTCCCTAAGTCCTCGCTTGGGCAATGCAAGGGAAGAAGCAGGATGGTCCTTCATCAGTTGTTTCTTATTCTTAGAATCACCTGTGGAAGAGAAACTCCCAAGGAAAATTTTCTATACAAGCATTTGTAGATGAGGGTTCTAATAATACTGCCATACTGTTAATACTTCTCCCATTTTATAGGCCTAAGAGGTTGTCATCTAAATGATATGGTTTGTAATTAGGTAGGCACTATTTAATTCATGGCTTGATTTAGACCTTGATCTTTGAGTCACATTTGCTGCCAAATTTGAATGTGAAATAAAGGAGCAGTGAAGCTGTAGGTTCAGAGACTTGGTGTTGGTTCTACCTGGCCATTTATTAATCAGGTGACTTTGGGCAAGTTGTAGCTTCTTGGGTATGTGTTCATTCATCTATTAGTTAGGACATGAATGTCTACTTTGCAAGGACAAGAAAGTCTACAAGAATCTGACAAAATACCTAGCTTCTACTGTTATTAATAAATGGCAAATTTAATTATTTTTCAAACATGATGATCCTAGGTGGAGCTTTGATAGTGAATTGTCCAAAATCCTCAACTTGGCCTTTCGTACCATGCATGATATGGTTCCAGACTTCCTTTCCAGTCTAATTGGTCACTTCATAGAGTTGGGCCATTTCTTGTGGCAATTAAGTATGATGATTTGAATAGATACAGGGCAGCCAAGATGGTGTGGTTCTTAATAAATATTGGCACATAGCGTTGAATGGAAACCTGCTGGGAGGAGACCTTTCATCTGTAAAATGGGCATGTTGCCTCCAGTTTGGGCATCTGTGACTGCAGAGACTCCCTTCCAATCATGAGTAGTGGTGGGCCTCTTTTGAAGCCTCACTGATTCCAAGGAAGGAGAGGGCTCTAGGTAGGGAGAGAATATAGTCAAGCTGTAAGCAGAAAGCAATTCTCTCTGCATCTGGAGTAGGGAGCTTTTTCTGTCCCTCCGTTTGAGCCAGGCACGTCTCCCGCTGTCCTCAGGATGGCTTCACCTTCTGCCCTGGCTCAGAGCAGCCACTTAGCTAGTGAGAGTGTACCCATTAAAGAAACAAATGGCTCTTTCCTATGGCAGAGGGAGGATTAAGGTGATCAGAGGGCTTTCTGTAATGAAGACACAGAAGATGAATTAGGCTCTGAAGTGCTCACCGCCCCCTGAAATACTTAGGAGATTAAATGCCCCGTGAGGCTTCCGGTAATGAATCTGCCATTGACGTGAATGCTACCCAGAGCTTTTTGGTTTTGAGTCTGTACTCTGTTGGCCTCTGTTTGGACAGTGAGAACCTCTCTGTCATCCCAGCAAGCCGAGTCCACTTAATTTGTCGAAGAGAAGAGTCACTGGCCGCTCCTGTCCTGGACCCCCTTGGGTGGCGACAGTAGTGAGGGAAGCCTTGGCCTTGGGCTCTTCCAACCCCTTCTGCTAATCCAGAGGAGGCCAATGTGGGCTGTGGCTGGATATGAATAGGCATCGAGAAGAACATCCTGCCTAACAAGAGATTTGTGCGGGCCTGGGTTTTCGTGCTCAGGGTCAGTGCTGCCCTGAGAATCCAGCAATAGACCTGATAGGGGTGGAAAAGACCTTGCCTGTCAAGCAGTGACAATCTAGGATGGAAAGAATCCGGTTATTTTTTCTAACTCAAAGCAGAGACTTTTACTGATCAGGGCCTTTAGTGGCTTTCAAAAATTGCTTTTGCAAAGGTAGAAGGTGTTGTGTCTACTTCCTACAAAGGTTTATAGTCTGCTTGGCATTTTAGAATGGCCAGTTTTTGAAGCAATCCCGGAACTTCATTGTGAACACCACTCATCAGGAGACCATTTACCAGAAATGCCAGACCCTTTGGCCCTTCAAACCAGTGTCTGTTGTGCTTCTTTCCGCTCTTTCACAGAGGTAGTGGTGTGAAGAAGGGGCAGGTAGGCATCCAACCTTTGGTTTGCCTGGACCTCACTGAGTGAAGAGGAATTGTCTTGGGCCTTATATAAAATGTATCCTGTAGCTATTGTATACAAGTAACAAAACTTCCTTTAGAAATTTTTAACCTATTAAATTATTTTATGAAATAACACAACCAGCCCATTTAATCATTAATAAGAAAATTTACATGTCTGCTTGATCACAGTAAATGTCTGCTTTCATAGACACACACAGGTGGAAGTAGCTTGGAAATACTATTAGCAGAAATCGCTGCATTTTACTCGCAGAACAGGACAAGCAGAGGTGACATCTGACACAAACGGGTGTGGATGTGGCTGCCCGTGTACGGTGCATGCAGGAGATGTTGTTAGCACTGAACTGCAACCTGCCTCACACAGCTTTCCGTTGTCACTAAGCCATCTGTGCTTGAGCACTGTGCAATCCAGTCTTAAAAAAAACCATTAAAGAAATCACATAATACCAGTAAAAGTTTACAGTGTTGTGGGGCCCTTGACTACCTGTCCAGAGCCACATGGGACCAAGGGTTGGACGTGACTCCCTAGAGGCTGGAAGGGACTTTGCTGGTGGCGAAGCTCAGCTGGCATTGTTGCCACAGCATTCAGAGAGTTAACACAGTGATGCTAGCAGTTCAAATATTGTATCTAGCAATTATAGAGTAATTCTGATTACAGTCACATGAGCTGTTGGCCTTTTTGTCTTAATTCCTGCACAGCATGAAAGTAATCACAACTTTTCATTAAATATTTGGCCATTTTCTGTATTAGAAGGTCTATTAGATGGTAACACTGGTCTCTGCTGAGTGTTTTGGGTATTCTTCACTTGTCTTTCATGCTGTTTGTTTTCAGGGCTAGTTAACACTATAGCAAATGAGGGAGGGTGTGGGCAGTCAGGCTGTGAGGTGGGCTGACTTGAAATATTGCTAAGGGTGTGAGGCAGGACTGGGCCACACCGTCACGCTGTGTTTCTTGAACACTTGCTCTGGCCAGCACCAGCTGAGTCTTTTCCTCAGAGCAGTGTGTGCTGATATCAAAAGGCTTTGCCACCCACCTCCCTACCATACGGGGGTGTTTATTCTGGAACCAGTGGCATGGGAGCACCCCTGCTATTCTGGGCCAATTACTATTCATGTCAATTTTCCTAAGGTCTCTGGAGACCAAACAAAAAATGATTTTAGAATGCCATAGAAGTTAGTTATTCCTCTGGCTGGAAGGGTAGCACCTGCTTTAAGGCCATTTTTACCTTTTGGGGATCTCCAATTTATAGTTTACCCAGGCAACAGCAGTGCTCAGCCCCGTACACACTGGGTATTACATGGGTCAGTGCTCTTGGACCCCAGCTTCCAAGCCTGGGTATTTTCAGGCTCTGCTCCTCAGAGGTGGGTTATATTCATTGTATTTAACAAATATTCTGGATGCTTGATGAACTATTAATTTATCAAATGCTCTATGGTATGCCAAATAATGCCTCCCCCCAAGATACCTGTGTCCTAATCCTTAAAATGTATGGAGCTACCTTTTATCATGAAAAGGACTTAGCACATGATGATTAATTATGATCTTGGTATAGAAATTTTTAGATGGGCCCAATATAATCACACTGTCCTTATAAAAGTAAGGCACAGTTAGTCAGAAAACAGCAGGAATGCAGCAGCCTCTAAAAACTGACAAAGGCAAGGAAATGGATTTTCCCCTAGAACCTTCAGAAGGAATGCAGATCTGTTGATACCTTAGCTTCTTAAGATCCATTTAGGACTTCTGACCTCCAGAATTGCAAGTTAATAAAATTGTGCTATCTTAAGCCACCAAGTTTGTAGTAATTTGTTATAGCAGTAACAGGAAACTCATGCATTTTTGTTAACCAAGGCATAAGAGGTAGATAACATGGATAGGATCATATGGAAAATAAGCAATTGTGCCAGGCTTTGAACCTAGGATGATCCATGCATTTAGCCACTACCACTTCTCATCTAGGGTCTCTCTCAAAGTTAATATCCTCTGCATTCACCACATAACTATAGGGGAACAGGAGAAATGGACTCGGGAAAAATAAAACTTAATTGCACACCATCAGATGGGAGTGAATTATCCTGGAACAGCAGAAACTAAATGGTTCCTGACCCCTGACAGCATTGCCTGTATCCATTCAGGTAAACCAGTTGTCCCTAGAATCCCAGCCGTGGGTTTGATTGATGAAACATTGACCTCTTTCCCCTCTAGATCATGGTACATGCAAGGATGTTTCGAAAGGGAGACTCAAGGCAGGGCATAATTGGCATTTATTAAAATTGTGCTTAATTGAATACTTCATCTGCACCTCCAGAAAACCACATGGGGTACAGGCTCTGTAAAGAGGAAGTAATTTTCATTAACAGGATCTAAATTAGTCTGACACAAAGACCTACCTGGTGCCTGTGACACGATAATAATTGCCAGGTAATGAACTCATTGCTGCAGACAAAGGTTTTTCCTTCCTTCCTTCCTTCCTTCCTTCCTTCCTTCCTTCCTTCCTTCTTTCTTTCCTTCCTTCCGTCCCTCCTTCCCTCCTCCTTTTGTTCCTTCCATCTTTCCTTCATGAATCTCCATGTCAAAGAAATGTCCTTATTCAGAGGGACCAATCTGGTGATGGCTGTAGTGTAGCAGCCCTGTGTGGTGGGAAAAGGGCTATGTTCCCGCCACCTCTAGCCGTTCAGAGAAAACAAGATGAACCATACCTGGACACGAACTTGGCCTTGTTCCTCTTCACTCTTAAGTCTGTCACATTATGCATCCTGGGGAATGTTCTATTTTTTGACTGCATCTTTAACTCACGTTTTCCCTCTCACTCCTTCTATTTCAGCCAACAAACACAATCCTAAAAGGTGGGGAAAAAAGCACTTTTGAGAACTAAACCTCTTGTAGTTCTATCTTTCTAAAATGCAAACATGAGCCTTGTCACCCCCCTCATAAGACACTGGGTGTTGCATCATTTACTTTGGAATAAAATTCTGTCATCCCTCTCTGATGGCTCTTTTAGTCCTGCTTACTCACGCAGACTCCAGGCACGTCAGAGTTGGAAAGGGCTGCTATCTAGAGGTGCTGCAGCCACCTGAGAATGCTGAGTCCCTCTCAGCATGTGTGGAGAAGGGAAGGGACACCACATATTCTAACAATATGGCAAGCTTTTTACTTTCTGTTGAGGAGAAGAGATTTTTTTTTTTGGTACTGGGGATCTAACTTGGATCCTTGCACTTGTGAGGCAGGCGGTGGAACCGCTGAGCTAAATCCCCGGCCCTGAAGAGAAGAGATTTTAAATGCTTTATTACCCAGAGTAATATGATAATATTACACCAATTAAATCAAGATAATCTTCTTTCTTGGTAAACATCATATTGGTATCCAGTTTTACAATCAAAGCTTCCTGAATGTGCTCTGGACAGTCAGTTGCTGTCTCTGAAGTGGAGGTATGGATTTTGCTGAAAGGGTGCTGCAACTTTGGAGGAAGTTTTCAGGAGGGTAGGCTGGCACCGATGAGACTGGTGTTTCTTTTGTCATTTATTTTAGCTACCATTTCAGAGTGCTGTTCTGCGAAGGTGGGCGAGTTTTCGTTCTGCTGCTTATTTCAGGAGCAGTGTTATGAGTGGTAACTTAATAGGCAACACATTTTCAATATATTCCACTGGGGTTTGGGCATCCTTTACAGTTTGGGGTCCCTTGTTGGCTCATTTGCCAACTTTTGTGCTATGAGTTTGCTGAGCTCCTTGAACTATGCTGGGAGGCTGCAGTGCATTGTAGCTGATGAGGTTGTAACCAAGGCTGACTGTCCACCTGGTGTCAGAACCCCATTACTAAAGGCACAGTCCTTCCATGCTGACTGACAAGTGAGGATTATAGACCAGAGACTTTTAAAGTATAGCTGAGTAAGAACTTTCTTTTGGGACTCCATATTCAGTAATAACTGATGCTTGGTTGTAATGCTTTCTCTTCTTATGTCTGCTGTCTACCTTGAACTCAGCCTTCATTTATTCAGGTTGAAGGTAGGTGGGAGTCAGTGTCACACAAAGAAGCTGGGGTGGGGGAATCCAAACCAGGACAGGGCGGACTGCCAGGAGGACAAACTAGCATGGAGGAGGTAGCAGGGCCAGGGGCCTCCAGTTCTGTCTGCATTTTAGAGCATGGAACTGGAGGGGTCCTGCACAATGACAGCTGAGCCCCAGCTTCACCCAGGGTAATGCTGTTCTCTCCAGTGGGGTTCCGGGGCCTGGCTATTATCCCAGAAACATATACTGATGAATGGGTATCTGTTACTGGAGACTACATCCAAGTGGCAGCACCCCACAAGTCTGGAAGAAAATGCCACAAAAGAATGGGTAGGGGGACAGTAAGGAATCATGGGCTAAAGGCAGTTTCATAACCCCAGCTAACCTGCCTGTAGAGCACCATCTGGATCATGTGTGCCCACTTTCCTAGTCTCTCACTTCCCTTTTTCAGATTGTGACCATCTTGGCGAACATGTCTGTCCTGGAGCAGTGTGCCTCTGACATCATTCAGGAGAATGGTATGTCCCGGCAGCAGTGCACATGCTGTATGGATGATTTGGGTATACAGGGCCATGTGCCTTTGTGCTATGTGAATGCCTCTGCACATGCATACGAATATGTATGTGTGCCTTCCTCTGTGCTTCCATGTGCAAGTGGGCCAATATATGAATGTCTATTTGCTTCCATGGACTTAAATTCTAGTGAGAGACAGTGAAAAACAAGATAGAGAATGTCAGATGGCAATCGTGTCATGGGGAAAATAAAATGGGGTGGCGGGATGGTTCCTATTTTAACCAGGCTGGTGAAGAGAAAGCAGATATTTCATTATGACCTCAAAAAGTAAAAACCTATTCCTACTAATACGTGCCTTCCAGCTGTCAATTGTTCCTAGCTCTCTGGATCTGACCTCAGTAGAAAGCTGACGTGTATGGGAAGGGGTGAGAGTGGATATGGGGTCAGGCCAGCCTGAGAACATCTTTTCTGCCACCTGTTCCCCTGTCCCACCTTGTGCTGACGGTGTCACAAAGGTCCAAGTGCACTGGGGCCAGGTTTGTTGGTCTGGAAGCTGATCTAACCGGTCGGTGTCGGTGTCTGCAGAGGACAGGGTGGCTGCCTTGCAGCTGGGAACAGAGCTGGTGTAGTTCGGGCTTCCTGTGACTGGGAAATAAGGGAGCAATTAGCAACCGGTTGGAGACCAGAGACGCTAATGAGGCCGAGTGAGCTGAGAGCCTGGGCCGCGGCCTCAGCTCCAGTGAAACTCTTGTCTCGGGCTGCCCTGCTGTCTTAACAAACATACACTTCCCCACCCCCCACCGCTCTAGTACTAATTGAAAGACATCATTTTCTGTTAATTTTATGTGATTGAGCTAATAACGAGAAACAGCGCAGAGCCAGCTGAGGCTGAGAGGTTGTGTGGTTTTATTTGTGCACTCTGCTGTCAGCATTTTAGTCTTCTGTTCGAGGGGACGGTGGGAGTGGCCTCCATGGGTCTGTGGGTCTGAGATCGGGATGTCCAGCTTCTAGAGAGGGTTTTATGGTTTACAAAATGCTATTGGATGATTCACTCAGCCCACAGTTATTGAGGGCTAGTATGTGCCTGCCACTGTGCTGGACAGCGAGAGTGAAGAGTGGAGTAAGTTCTAGCCCTAGACCGGTTCACAGCCCAGGAGGAAAGCCTATCTCGACAAAAGCAATGGCACAATAATAATGGGATGCAGGGAGGATGGCGTAGGGCTCGAGAGTATGGAAACGGCAACCATACCGTTCGGCTTGAATCCTGGCTTGGTTATTGACTAATGGTAAGATTTCTCTGTCTTTCCATCTGCAAAATGGGAGCAGTAGCAATGTCTACCTGATGGGGAGGATGTGAGCGTGACCACCGAGCATTCTGAGAGTGCCTGGGGCAGAACGAGCACTTTCCAAACCTGTGTGTTCTTTTGGGAAGCACTGCAGTCTCACATCTCACGGGGTTTAACTAAAGTTTGACGAAGGAACCATTGACAAAAGTGGAGAAGGATTTGAGGGATCACTCCTGGTGGTAATGCAACCAGAGGCCACCGGAAGACAGCAAGACTGCCAGGTCTAGATGGGGCAAGCCCTGCTGTGCGGGCTGGGCTTTGGGAGCCCATGGTCTGAGTCACAGGTTGCAAACTTAGATGCCTGTGGGACCCAGGCAGGTAATGGGAACCCATGAGGAGGACTCAGCATGGACGGGTCATCTCCTTAAAAAGAGTAGGATTATAAATAAGCTTCTTGACCTGAAGAAATGTGGGCCTACTTTTGTCAGATTAGGAGGTAATTGTTTAGAAATCAGAAATCTAGATTTTTATGGAACTCTCCCAATTTGAATATTAAAAAACTTTGAACATTTTTAGAAGCTGTGTGGATTTAAAAAACACAATACATCTTTGAGTCATGCATAGTTTAAATTCTGAGCTGGCAGTTACCACTGGGTGCTAAAAAGGTGGGTACCGACTAGGGCATTTGGGGAACAGCTCACACACAAGGTAGACTTCAGCTATTAACCTGCAGAATGGGAGTTGTTAAGAGAATTAGAGGGAAAGAGGCATCCTCTGCAGAAAAAAAGGGTGGGCAGAGGCAGGCTGGCAGCAGTATTGGATATGATTTGCACAACAAACAGCAGACAGATCTGGCTTCGTGGGAGGATTAGTCTTCTCAGCAGACTAAAAATCAGGCCAAAATCTCACCGTTTACCAGTGCTCGAGTCACTCTAAAACATTTGATCTAGTGATTATCCAGCCTAGACATGGGTCCCCTTCCACTAGGGAGCTCATCACTTCAGGACCTGTCTCAGATGCAGCCAGAATCAGAGGCGAAGAGATGATGGACAGGAACCACATGTCTGAGTTCCGGCACTAGCTCTTCTACATACCAACTGTGCAACTTTGGGCATGATGCCTCCCCTCTCCCTGAGCCTCAAAGTAGAATTATAATTGGACCTCGTTCATGAAACTATTGGAAGGTTTTGGGAGATTGTGTGTTTACTGTGCCTTTAGCACAGTGTCAGACATAATCATACAAACATTTTAAAAATGAGGATGTCCTCCAGTTGTCCCTCCCTAGTGACTTGGTACATGAAATCAGACACACCCCTAAGGAATAGAAGAAGAGTAGAGGTGGCTTTGTCCAGTTTACTCCCTCTGATTGAGACCCACCAAAGCATCTGAGGGCCTGTGCTTGAGTCTTGTGCTGTCCGTCTGGCTCCATGGGAAGGGATGACCGCTGGGAGTGGGCACTAACTGTTTTTTGCTTCCTGCTCAGGGGTCCAGCTCATCATGGGCATGCTGTCTGAGAAGCCAAGGTCAGGGACCCCCGCCGAAGTGGCAGCCTGTGAGAGGGTCCAACAGAAAGCTGCAGTGACGCTGGCCCGTCTCAGCCGAGACCCAGAGGTGGCACGGGAAGCCGTACGGCTTAGCTGTAAGTGATGGTGGCTGTGGCTGGAGTGGAGTGGTCAGGTTGGGGTAGGAGCAACTGTAATTCACAGTGGAGTCAGTGGGCAAAGGACAAGGGCTAGCCTGGGTGAGTCCAATCTCTGGCTTCTGGGAAATGCTAGGATAGATGTCGTAGGTTAGTTTATTACCTGGGGCTGAAACAAAACAGAGGAAGAGTGTGGAGTGGGAAAAGTCACCCCGGACAGTCATTCACCTGTGGACTCTCTTGTTAATTAGGACACCATTCTTTCACTCTTTTGTTTACTCATTTATTTACTTATTCAGTTATTTATTTATTCATTCATTTACTTATGCACTCATTTGTTCACTGAGTCATTTACCTATTCATTAATTCACTTACTATTGAATGATTCATTAATTCACTAATTAAATCACTCATTCATTGTTACATTGTTAGCTACTTATTACCTGAGAGAGAGTTTCAGAGCACTCACAATATGCTGAGTTCTTTTCTGAGTGCCAGGCAATAACATCGACTATGACACTGTTGACCTTAGAGCCCTGTGGGGGTGACAGATATGGGAAAAATTATCTGCTTTTGATTATCATAGCAGTGAAGCTCCAAGCATGTTTGGCACACAGAGGAAGTAGACTACACTTATCTGATTGGGTCCAAGAATGTTTCAACTTGGGGGCGAGGCTTCAGGTGTGGTGTGGTGACCTTTCCTCAGTAAAGCCCTAGAAAGCATTAATAAAGCCTGTAGTGTTCTATAATTTTAGCTGTAATATGTATTTTTGAATGAAATAAGCAATTGGAAAAAGAAAGAAACAGAGAAATTTCTCTGGCATGGATGTAAACAATCACAGTGAAACTAGAAGTGCCTAAACTGGAAGTTCTTCCTCGGTGAGATGGGCAATTCCTCATTGTAAACTCTGTCTTGGCCACTGTTTTGGCACTGGTGGGTTTGGCTTTGATGCTCTAGTCGTCCCTGCCCTTGATGAAGGTCTGTAGAAAGTCTGCACCACACGCTCCTTCAGGTGGGGCGAGGCTCCCTCCTCGCTGACTGGGGGGCAGTGGGACCTTGTGTGCCAGAGAGGCCAGAACCCCTGGATCAGTTCCCCTTGTGTCCCTGCAGGTGTGTCCCGTCTCATCGAGCTCTGCAGATCTCCTTCGGAAAGGAACAGCAGTGATGCTGTGCTCGTGGCCTGCCTGGTGAGTTCTCAGGCTGCCCCAGCTTCGCCCCTGGCCTTTGGGATTACAGACGAGAGGCCAGGAGAGGTGGCTATGCTGTGGTTGGCTTGGGTAAAGCCTTAACTGCTCTGGGCTTCAGCTTTTCTTCTAAAATAGTGATAATTGTAATACTTATTTCCTTTAATAAAATTGCAGTGAAAATTATAGGAGACTGCATATGTGAACAGCGGGTAGTGAGAAACTGCTCCTTTTAGCAGTGTTTTAGGTTCTGGGGAATCTTAGCAGCTCAAAGGCAGAGCGGCGAGCTTGCACAGGGCCAGGTGGTGGTACTGACATCACGGTGCCTACAGAATGTGGGAGCCGGGATACAGATGTCACCTTCATGTTCCAAAGTGGACATTATGAGAAAAGCCTGCTTTTCCTGCTGGAGGAAATCCCTCTGCTGGGCTCTCCCAGCACTGCGGCTCCCCCTCCTTTTTGGGATAGGATGGGAGGGAGCGTGATAGGACAGAGAGGATTGTTCAACCGGCCACCAGGCTCTTCATCTTGAACCCAACCAAGTGCATCCTTGGAGATTCTGACCCAAGTCCTTGATGCTCAGGTCTACCACGAAGCAAGCAGCCATGCGTGGCTGATGGAGAATGGCCATTTTATTTATCCACTCCTCCCCGTGGGACTACAACAAAGCCCAGAGCAGAGTGACTTCCAGTTGGAAGCACTGAATAGCTGGGGCGTCATTGTATAAACGGGGCCATTTAACTTTCAGGAGAGAATGCCGTATCTTTGCTCCCCAAAGAACACAAGGGAGAAGAGATGAATCTAAGGATCCTTCAGGCTATGCCACAGCAAAGCCCTCTCCTCACCCCATTATTTAACCAAGCTCACCTCCTTCCTGGAGTTCCTGACAGGCATTGTGCTGTTGTAGAAATAGTAGGGCCTTGCAACTAGGCAGATCTGCCCCACACTCACCATTAATGAGCTGTGTCACATTGAGTAAGTCAGAGTGTTAAAAATTTTGTTCAATGGGCATTTATTGAATGATTTTAGGTGACACTTTTCTAGGCTTTGGGGACATAGCTGAAGAAAACAGACAAAAGTCTCTGCTCCCCCGTAGCTTTTATTCTGGGACATGCAGGGTTCTAGTAACTCTTTTGTGCCTCTGGAAGCTTTCTTCTCAGAATAATGTTTGAAATGCATAAAATAAAAAAATATATAATTAAAAAGGAGACCAATTACATTAAATAATTATTAACATTTCAACACATGAGATTCTAACACCTGTGCTTTTTAATCCACACGTTACATAAGCAGTTTAATCTAGCAGTGGGTCTCATAAGTATTGTTGGCTAGCAATGACTGCACATGATACCTGGAGGTATCTTCAACATCTCTAATGGGACGTGAAAACGTCTTCGATTTCTACTGATGAATAAGTATAGAGATTGCTAAGACTTTATGGTTTGTTGTTACATTCACAGCTGAAGGAAATGCTAAGTTTCAGTAAGAGGTTGGTAAAATTAAAGATTTAACTTCTTTTTTCCTCCAGTTCTCAGACCTTCTTAAGTTTGCTTGATCTAGCAAGCAAATCAATGGTTGGCAAACACATAATGATTGGCCCTGACTACCATTATCTTTACCACTCTGGCACCCAGAAAGTGCCAGACGGAACAGGCTCTGAGGAAATGTCAGGAGCGCCAAAAGCACCTGGGGATTGGTCAGCTCCTCTTAGATATGAGGGTTATTATTATGATTGTTAGTTTTACTATTAGTTTGAAGGAGAATACATGTTTAGCTGCTATCCATAATCACTCACAGGGCTTTCAAGTGGAAAAGGGATTTCCTTTGGTCTTGTGGACAAGTTTTAGATGCTGAAGAGAGCCCCTTCCTCCCTAATCCATCTTCCATGTGGCTGCTGAGGTAATTTTTCTAATCACAGTTTACAGTCACGGCACTTCCATGAAACCACCATAGAACTGTCCGTGGTTCTCCATTATCTGTGGTCTCTCCTGACTTCCTGTTCAGTCCTTCAGTGGCTCCAACTTGCCCCTAAGGCTGATGACCCTGTACAGAAAACTCTTTATTAAACTCCTGTCCATTGTTCAAGGCTGCCATCTAACTCCCTCTTTCCTGATGTTTTCCAGGAGCCCTCTATGGTGCAGAGAGGGGACTGCACAGCATGTGCCTGGACCTCTTCTCTTGGATTTTATGATGTCCCACTGACTCAGGTTTATTACCTGTGTTCTGGGTTCTTGGAATTCAAACACAGATCTGCTTGGCTCTAGAGGCCATGTTTTTTTTTTTTTGGCAAGACCATCTTGTTTCCAGGCATGTTCTTTCTTTCCCACTCCCTATGGCCCTGGTCTCACTTTGATGACTCAAGGGGAAGGATTTGTGCTTGTATTTCTCCCCCTACCCCTCCAGCCTAGAACTTTCTTAGGGCAAGGGCCTTTTCCTGGATCTGTGTATTTCCACAGGACTTTAAGTTTAGTGGCTGTTTATTGCTTGACTGTGGAATTGGCAGCCTTGTCCCTTGTCTTGGTGGATGTCCATGGCTTGTCCCCAGAAGGGCTCCACCATGGGGGTGTGGTACCCTGGCTTCTGGGGTACCACTTGGAGCCTGGCATGGTAGATGGAGTCGGGAGCTACCTTTCGTGCTCTGTCCAAGGCTTTATTTCCAGTTTCAAAGGTGGAGGGAGGAAAGTTCAATAATCCTGTCCACGTCTGGTAAAGTGGCAGCACAGCTCACTGCTTGCCACCAGAACTGACTTCTCCTTAATGAAGCAGCTGTGGGCAGGCTGCTGGACTCCTTGAATACTTGGGTGTTTTCAAACTGTCTGAGAGTGAGATTCTGGGATGACTGGGTGTTAACCAGTCCAGGAAAACAGAGCATACAAGCAAGGCTTGGGAAGGGTGCGGGGCCCTGTGAGGGTGCTCAGGAGTGGGTACTCTGAGCTGGTGTGGAGTTCTCATCCTGTACAATTTCTGAGGACCATGGGGTATCTCTGACTACTCTCTCTGTCTTTTTCTGCTGTGTAGTTTTTCTTTCTCTCTTCTGGGGTTACTTTCTCTCTTAGTATTCCCTTTCTTCATTCCTCCTCCTTTCTCTCTTCTTCTTTGTCACTATTCTCTGTGTTCATCTTTCTTCCTTTCTCCATCTCTTTTCCTTCACCAAGTTGGTCTTTGTCTCCGTTTAATATTTTCTTTGTGTTCAGTTTCCTTGTGGTTGTCTTTTCTTTTTTTCCCATCTTGCCAGTGCTCTTCTATTTCATTTGCTCTCTTGGTGGGTCTCCCCACTTCTTTGTCTCTCTTTGTCCCCCACCCTTGCTTTATTTTTACCCATGATGAAGTAAAATGCATGCGTGACCTCACGCCCTCACCTGCGGGATGTTTCCTGGTTCTGTTTTCACTGTGACATCAGTGGGATTATTTCTCCCTGTTGGAATAATGCAAAATCAGAAAGTTCTGGGCTTTCAGCCTCTTTGGCCCTTGGGGTAAGTCAGGCCCCTGCGAAGGCAGGACTTGCTAGAGATCGCCTAGGGTGTCTGTTCCCCACCATCAGTGTCTCAGACCTCATTCTTGTGCACAGAGACATACATTCCTTCTTCTTGCTTTGGCTTGGACATGACAACATCTGTGGCTCCAAAAACAAGGTCAAATCTCCCTTTCAACTTGCTTGGCCTGATTTCTTAGCAACAGGCTTCCTACCTTGTCTAGGTAACGCACTCTGGCTCTGCTGTGTGCTCACTCCAACCTTAACCTGGTGTCCTGGGGCTGCAACATCCTGCCTGTGTGTATAGTAGGAGTTGGGCTGCTGTGTGATCTTGAGAAGATCACTTTCCATTTCTGAGCCTCAGTTCCCATATGTCTAAAATGGAGATCATGGTAATTACCTTGCAGCATGGTGTAGAGGTTGCATGAGGTACCATGGGTAGATAGTCAATAGATAGTCCCTCCTTCCTTGTTTGTCCTGCCATTCTAGATATTCCCCCACTCTCTGCTCCCAAGGGTGTGTGAGGGTGTTGTGTATATGCTCAGGAGGAGGGAGGGAGTTATATCCACCTGGCCCTTCGAGTGCCTTGTCTCAGTTCAGTGGTGAACAGGTGGTTTAGGTAGGTGCTCAGTTCAGATTTACAGGCTCAGGTGGCTCTATCAGTAGACCTCAGTTTTAAGCACTTCATTTGTTCACTTCTTTTCCACAAACAGGTGTCACACCCTGTGCTGCCTGCTATAGATGCACAGAAATACAAAACATGATTCTTACCCTTGAGGATCCGAGAATCTAGTTCGGGAGGTAAACACCTGACAAGCAGTTCTAGTCAAGTATGAGAGGGCTGAGCTCAGCACAGGGGGTGTGCATGCACAGGGGAGGATGGACGGTCTCTGTTTCTGGGCAGTCAGGGAGGGTTTCCCAGAGGAGGGAACGGTGAACGACACGACATAACAGCATCTGCTGGTTAGAGAGGAGTGGGGAGGAACTTTGTGCCACAGGGAAGTGCATGGGCCAGGGCTCATGGCCATCAAGGTGTAGCATGCCTGACACTTGGAGAAGGCAGGGAGAGAGGGCTGGGGTTCAGTTCTGCTTGCCCCTCTCTTCTGCTCACCCACCTTGCTGGATTTGAATTGCTCAGTTGCAGAATCCCTATCTGCTTTGACTCTATGTTCTCCCTGCCTTTCTCTTTTCCTCCCCACCCCACAGTACTTTGTGTAAGACTTCACTGGATTTATGGATAAATAGTCTTTGCTGCTTCAATCTACTCTTGGGACCTGGAAGCAGTAATGTAATTCCACTGATGCTTCTGGTAGTTCCAGTCTCTAGGAAGAGCACAGTTTGAACTTGAATATGTCGCTAATCCTTAAAGTGACAGATCTTTAAAATGAGCAGGTTCCTAAGACGATTGAAGAACCAAGATGGTGAGATCACTAGTAAGATCATTAAGAGCTTTCAGATGACATCTGCCATAGTAACCAAGGTGCAAATGAAACCAAGCATCCACGTGACAGGGTGCTATGGTGACCAGGAGACCAAAAGTGTCACTAAGGTACCAGGTAGCCAAGATGATGATCAACTCCAATTGGTAAACCCACCATTTCTTGAAATGTATCTCTCAGGGCACCTGAAGGAAATACATGGCCCCGAGCAGAACCCAGTCTACTTGTGTCATGTCTTCTGTCTTCTCTCCAGGCTGCTCTGCGTCGATTGGCTGGGGTCTGCCCTGAAGGCCTCCAGGACTCGGACTTCCAGCAGCTGGTCCAGCCCAGGCTTGTGGACTCCTTCTTACTCTGCAGCAACATGGAGGAGAGTTTTGTGTAGCATGCATAGGAGGAAATGTATTTGCCCTGTTCTCATTCCCTCTGAGTACACACCTGCAAAGCACCTGAGTATACACCACCTCTCCTCATCCTTATTTATACCTAATTTATTTTTTACATGAAATGGGCAGTGGAGTCTTCTACCAACATCATCAAACAGTAGGTGGTCCTTGGGAATCTTTTTTGTTTCTATTTTTTGATTTCTGTGGCTTTTCAGTTGCAGATGCTGAAATGCATAATGGCTAATATGACAGATTGTCATGGATAATTTCACTTCATCTTGCTTTCTCTACTCTCACTATATAATCTTGCCTAATTTTTTTAAATGTTGGAACCAGAGTATCTTAGCTGCCCAGCAGTTATTTTTAAAAGTTAGAATCACTCTTCCCAAAAATTTTTAAATGAATTTCACAGCTGGACAGCATATACTGGAAAGAAAGGTTTTTCTTTAATAAATGGAATAATGCAAAATGTGTCTCAGATTCTTCTGACTAAATTGTGTCTTTAAAGTTCTTGTTTCCCAACGTTTCATGCCACAAAAACCTTTTCAATCATTACAAATGCATAAAGTTCTTGTTTTCATAACTGTGTCAAGTTCTAACTGATTTAATGAGAAATCATAATGTGGTCAAAGACCCAAGAAACTCAGCTTGCTTTGGCACCACTGCTCATTGTAACCTCTCCCATCTCCTAATGAATAGAATCCTGGGATGAAGCTTATTGAATAATTGCTCTTGAGAAGGCTACTGGAAAGCAGGGGTGTGCTGGAGCTGGGTCACACTGGCTCGCAAAGGACAATTATGAAAATTCCTTCCCAACTTCCTGTTCAGTGACCTCATGTTGGTAGCTTGAAGATGGTCATGATGGGACCATTTATACCTCAGAAAGAGGCAGGTGCTAAATCAGGGTTTTGATTTCTTTAGAGAGCTGGTTTTCTAATATCACTGGTTGAAAGTATCACAAAAATCTGGGAATCCTTCTGAAAGTTCTACTGCTGTCATATTGTGAAATAATTTTGTACAATTCAAGAAACACTTCTTGAATTTCCAATTACTAGCCTAAATGAATTAACCTAATGTATCAGATTCTGGGCTAAGCATCTAACATGCATTATCTCATTTTTCCTTGCAATAATTACATGATTATTAATTAGTATATTCATATATATTATATGTGATCATGTCATTAAATCACTTGCGCAAAGTTACTTGTTAATAAGTAGTGCTAGGGTCTGAAGCTGGCAATGTCTCTTACAGAGTCTTTGGTTTGAAATCTTACAGAGAAAAGTAATGTCTAGGTCCCTTCACCTAACATGATAATGATTATGACAGAAAACACCTGCATGAAATGATGATGTGCTGAACTTTTGTTTTATATTGCCCTATAAATGCACTTTGTACAGATAAGGAAATGTCTCTCCATGAGACAATGGAGTTGAGGTAGCAAATACATGGCAGACTCTATGTTCACACCGAGGCCTTCTGAGCCCATTTCGACTTCCAATCTTAGGAATAAAGTTTTTGATATATCTTAGTTTGGATTCTTTTGTTAATATCATGACTGATCTCATCAGAAAAGTCTTTAAATGCTGAGAAGCTATCAAGCTTAAAAATTCAAAATTTTACCATTGGCAACAATTACTGTCAATTTTTTCCTTGAAGAGACAGCCTCACTTTGTTCATTTTTGAGAAAATGTCTGCCAGATACTTCAGTATTAATAACCATAGTTTGTCTGTCAATATTTCCAGTAAAAATAGTGTTCCGTGGGAAAAGCAACTAATCACTTTGCAATTCAAACAATCAGAGAATTCTTTTTTTTTCTTGAAACTGACATACCTATTTCAGTACATAGCAGAAATGCCTGAAGTGAGGTGTTCATTTTATCACCCAGAATAAAGGAAAATTAAAAGAACAAACCACACACCAAAGGGCAATATTCAATAGAGTTCACATTTTTTCTGCTCCATCAGTATATTAAGTGAAATTGGTATTTTTAAAATTTATATGTGTGGCAGGGAAGAATGCAATGTCTGAAAGTAGAATTAGGTACCACTGCCTTGACTACGGCGATGTGCAATTTTACCTCCCATTGCCTTTGCACCATTAGTGCAAATGTTATCAAGTTAAAAAGTAAATAACTTCTTGGTGTGATTGTGAAAATAGTTTTGACTTTACAAAATTCCTGAAAGCATCTTGGGAAACCCTAGAGAGATCACACGTTGTGTATCACTGATCTAGTTTACTGCTCATTTTGTAGTTGAAGAAATTGAAGCCTGTGTTGAGGGGAAACAAGGGATTTTTGCCAGAAGCATACAGAATGAAGACTAACACCCAGCCTCTTGGGGGAAAAGTCTGCCCATTCCTCAATACCAGTTGTTCAGTAATACAGAACTGGGAGAGAACAAAGTACAAGAACAACTCTGGGTAAAATGTATGTTGAAAATTGAAAATCTCTGTTGTAACACTTGTCTGGGGTATGTGTATGTCAGTGAGATCCTGGTAAAAAAAGCTGTTGAACACAGATGGTTCAAATAAAAATGTTTTAGTAAGAGACTCATTTAAAACTTGTAGGTAGAGTTCAAGGAGGTATGGAGGAATGCTGAACCACCCAGAGATTAAAAGCAGTGGTGAGCCCTGGAACCTTGGGCAAAACAATCAAATGAAAGAATAGTGTTATCAAAGTCCACTGAGAGCTGGAGCCACAGGAGAGGGGCAGTGGTGGAAACCTAGGAAATCAGCCATGGCCAGAGACATGGAGCCTGGCAGGGAGGTAGCAGGACAGAAATAGTGGAAATTACCTCTCTTCCCACCTTCTGATCTCCCACCAGTGGCTCTTATGGGCTAGTCCTCTGCTGAGAGAGTCAGAGTGATGGAATCCTCAGCAATTAGACCCAGGAGGAGAAAGCAGGACAGAGGAGAGTAGAGGTGGACCTAAATGTGTCAGTACCCCTAAACCATCATTCACCACTCCCATCAAAATGAAGCATCTAGAACCGAAAACAACCTTTCCCTCTTGTCTCCACCCACCCTATCTCTGACCATGCCAGCTACCAGTTATGGTAAAGCAGGGGCATCAATGATGGCATGTGCTAGGAGGAGGATGTTTGAAAGGACAGTCATCACTAAATTTTGACTTCAGTGGGTAAGAGGTCAAAAAAGAAGCTAAAGGAAATGTACCAAATAGAAAAAAAATTTTTTTTGCTTAATGACAATATTCCTTGGCCTTTGAGTTTTCTTGCTTGGGGTAAAGAGGGCTAGGAGCAGGAGGCACATAAGTTTGATTTTCTCATTTAAGTTGTGATAAAGAATAGGAAAGGAAGATCTAAAACTGAGGGAACTGACAGCCTATTCAAAAGTCTCAGGCACAAATGACAGCACGTCAGCTACCTTTGTAAGATTCTCTGTGAGAGGATCTTATCCTCAGAGGACCTGCAGCTTCGTCATGTCTCACCTCTGCCTGTATTAAACCTCAGAATAATTACTGTGTTCCAGCAATGTCTTTTTGTAAGACCCACTACAGTAATTCACAGCAAGGAGAGGTGTTATGCATAAAGGAAATCTTATTAATAAGCAAAACAAGAGGAGCAAGAAAAGGGCATTGGACATAGAACGGAAAACTCAGGACAAGACTAGACTGATCATCATCATCTTCTTTTTTTTTTTAATAAAGCTACTCAGAAAGATGGAAATTCTGAAAGAGAATCTTTGATGATATCAATCTTGGGATAGAATCTGTTTACAGTCAAAATCTATAGAATACGGGGAAGTGTCTCCTCCGCTCCAACTCTAGCCAGGATCATATGACTTTTCCTCAACCCGTGAGACCCTCCAAATCTCACCAATTGTAGAGTAGCCTTGGAGTATGGACTGCAAGCTAGGCCATAGATGAACAGCTTCTGGGCATCTGGGCTGCCCTAGGCAGGAAGTCATCACAGAGATGTACACAGTGGAGACCCACTCAACCATAAAGACAAACGAGTCATTTGAGGGAAAATGGATGCATCCTGAGACCATAGTGTCAGGTGAAATAAATCAGACACATGAGCTCAAGTATCACATGGTTTCTCTTATATTAAAAACTCAAATTATAAAGAGCAAAATAAAAGGTAGATAACAGGAAGCAGGGAGATCTTTCTCAAATGGGAAATGGATTGAGAGATGGAAGGAGGTGAGAGAAAGGGGAAGAAAAAGGGAATTAGGATGTGTTATGTACATGTTCCAACTCCACAAAGAAATGTAAAAATTATAAACTACAAACATATACTAAAAAAACCCCTCATCTGACAACTCAGAACAAGACACAGTTGAAGCAACTGTTCCTTAGCTCAGTGACTCTGTTTAAAGTTTGTACCAAAGAATGAAATTAACATGGATCCTATTTACTGAGTGCCACCAGCACTCGGTCATTTTGCCCAGTATCACTTCTTATTCTCACATTTTACCCCGAATTCCCTTTTAGTCTCAAGTGTGAGTCAGGAGCTATTAATAACATTCCCATCTGCATCTCCGTTACAGATAGGGAAATCGAGACTTGTAGAGACAAAGTGGCACTGCCACAATGCTGATGTAGGGATCAAACCCACATCTATCTGACTCCAGAGGCCAGTTAGGAGGAAAGGGAGAACTTAGCACCATATACTCTACAAAGAGCCACTTTTACACAGACACCAGTCTCCAGAAAACATGTTACAAACAGTTGCAGTAGTCTCACAGAAGAAAAAAATGAGTTCTGGGATTACCTCTGATTTTAGATAGGAGAGTGATGAGTGTGTGTTGGGTGGGAAATCCCCTCAGAAAAGCTGTAAAATGCAGTGGTTAGAACTGCAGACCACCTTGGTTTGAATCCTCATTCTTCCCTTACTGTGTGACCTTTGGCAAGATGTATATCTCACTGTGGCTCAGATAATGACGGCGTCTTAACCATAAGTTGCTGTGAGAATTAAACGTGTTAATACTTGGAAAGGGCTTAGAATGGTGCCTCCTGGCAAGTGCTCATTGAACATGGCTACAATAAAGTCCATCACACTCAAGTTTTGCTTCTATTTAGGTTGCCTGGTTATACTGGACAGAGCTTCAAATTATATCCATATTAGAAACAGAGACTATTCATCCTGCAAGGGATTTGGAGACCATCTATATCCTCCACGGAGGAATAAAGATACATGCCTAAAATTACAAAGCAATTGAGTGGAAAAGCTGAGGCTTTGACCCTAGAAATAGGATCAATGAGCAGTGTAGCTGCCATGTTTGAGCACCTGCCAATGCAGATGGTCTGCTTCACTAGAGTCCTAACAACTCTGCTTAGCAGTTATCACTGGTGCCTTTTATTAATAAGGAAACTGGAGTGCTGAGAAGCTGTCTCGCTCAAGATCGCATAACTAGTAAGAGATGACAGGATTTAACTAAAGCTCACAATCATTCCCCTTTGTACATTTTAATGAATTTGTGTGCACATAAACTCAGTGTGTGATCT